CTAGCACTACGACTACTATTACTTTTCCTAGTACCCTTACTACTGCTACTACTGCTGCTGTTGCTGTTACTACTCAGGCTAACACTACTATCGTGAACACAACCGGACGGAGATGTGCAACGCGGTCACCGGTGGTTCGACCTCGGTTGCACCGCAGCAATGTTTGGCACAGAGTGAAGAAGAACGTGGGCAGCACTCGAGGCCCTCTATGGCGCAATGCGTTCCGTAAGCGTGGCCTGCGTGCCGAAGACACCCGCGTATCATTCGCAGGAGCAGTCAGTCTATGGCAACCCGGCGAACGATAACCCGAACCTTTGCGACCAACAGTGTTAATGCCCCCGCGAGTACGACCATTGGTACCATGATTACTCGCACGACTACAAGTTTGACCTTCTTGCTTCGCGGCAGCAACAGGTGCGACTTGTTTGGGGTTCAGGAAGCCTGGGATGAACCCAATGTCCGTCTGCTTTTCGTCGTGCTTTTCTTGCTTCGTCCCCTCGAACTCTGCAGCGCACGCCCTGCCTCAAAGGCGAGGGCCAGCGAGGAGGTGACGAACTCAGCCGCCTACGCTCTGCCTCCGCCTTCTTTTCCTCCTCCTCCTCCTCCCCCTCCTCCTCTTCCTCCTCCTCCTCCTCCTCCACCTCCTCCTCATCCTTATCTTCATCCTCAGCCGTCATTCCTGTCCCTTATGTTCTTTATGAATAACGCTTCCGTGTCGTACCCCGAAGCCAGTCGGAAGGGCGAGCAGGGCGTTTCGGTTGAAATTTCCTCACGACTTATGAGCCTGAAGCTTAGAAACTGGCAGCAGCTTCACGGATGGAGGGCGGGCCGCTTCCAAAATGTGGATCTCGTTTTAGCGCCGCGCATACTTCGCTTGAGAATTTGCAAGATCTTCAAGGATTGAGGGCGGATCGTTTTCAAAATGTGGTTTTCGCTCTAGCGCCGAGCACATTCGTTTCCAAAACTTCCGCGAGGTTCACGGATTGAGGGCGGGTCGTTTTGAAAATGCGGTTTTCGCCACAGCGCCGAACACATTCACTTTTTAGCGGTTTTCGCCACAGCGCCGAACACATTCACTTCTTAGGGGAATCAAGAAATGCTGGAGCCAGGAATGGCGTTCTGGCGCGGTCAAGATCGTCAAGACGCAACAATCAGGTTAATTGGTGGCGTTGAAGTACCGAGAATTGTATCGCGCTCCAAAATTGTCACACAGTTGTTCCCCACCGGGGCAATACTTTCAGTGCACATGAATCCATGTAGGGGCCTATGAAGAGGGAGTTCGGAGGGAAGGTGTATTAATCTTGGGTTTACACTAGTCTTCCCCCTTTTCCTCCTTTACCATTACCCTCCCTCCTCCCGCCTCCTCCTCCTCCTCTTCCTCCTCCTCCTCCTCCTCCTTCTCCTCCTCCTCCCCCTCCGCATCCTCTTGCCCCTCCTCATCACTATCCTGCCCCTTCTCCGGGCTAAGCTCAGGAACTTAGTCAATCAGTGCCCTCCCCATTTGCTCAACAAGGCCACGCGCGAATACCTCGATCGGATTAGTCGTGGCCTGTTCCACAAGTGCTGAGCTCAGCCCGTCTACCACTACGTGATAAAGGAAATCCGAGAATCCTTATTTTCCTTCCTCTCTCCTCGTTCTTTCCTTTCTCCTCCTTCAGCCCTTGTCCTTGGAGATGGTTCCTCTTCGCCTGACCACCAGACATGGCGGCAGGGCGGGCTGGTTGAGCGTTTCTCTTACGTAAGTCTTCTTCACAGCTTATGATCTTGAAGCTTGAAAGTCTCAAGAATTACGAGGATGGAAATGGGCGCGTGTTCAACCTAGTGCTATCGCCCCAGGAGCGCGTACGTTCGCCCGAACAAGCTTGCAACAGTTACAAGGGACGGAGGGCTGGCCTTTTTCAGCCTGAGGCTCTCGCCGTAGCGCCGCGCACATTCGTCTTACAAGCTGGGACGCACATTCGTTGTAACAGTCTGCAGCATGCGCAGGGATGGAGGGCGGTTCTTGGTGTTTAAGTATGGGGTCTCGCTTGAAATTCCGTTGGGATTCAACGCAATACGCTTCACAATGCTTATCAGCTGCACATACAGAGGGCGTCTCCGATTCAACATCGGATATTGCGTTAGGCTTCGTCAAAGTGCATGACAAGAAGAGCAGGCTTGTGCACCAGCTACATCGATGGGGCAGCTCTTTTTCAAAACGGGGGTTCGCTGGACACCCCGTTCAACGGTATGATCATATCTGCTCGCATGCATTATTTTCATTGTGGGATCTCGCTTCAATGGCGATCCCATAGGGTGCCGGGTTTTCAAAGAGCAGCTTCTTCTTGGCAAAAGACAGGTTTGTAGGGACTAGTGGTGACGAGGGGCTTGAGACGGGAGGGTCTATTCCAGCATCGTTGATGCATCTTGGGCCTACTCTGGTCATTATCATGTTTCCTTGGTACTAACATCCGCGGGGGTCGGCGTGGCGCCTTGTGGTGGGGACCGCCAGCATTGGAGGCGCTGCTGGGCCGCTTCCGAGTCTCCGAACGGGTAGGCGCCCCAAGAAAACTTAGCGATGTGTGGACCAGAGCCTCCTATGGGGTTTGAGGAGGTGGCCGGTTTCATGGGAAACCATGCGCTCGGCCAAGGGTTTTGAATCGAGCAGCGTGCGCCCGTCGCTGATGATTCGTTTCTCCCACGCATCCCGCACGCATTCGTTTTTCGAAAGAGAGAGGGTGTTGGGGGGAGGGGGGCGTAGAGTCAGTCAGTGGACTAGTTTGCTAGTGGAGATTTCGACTAAGTCAAGCCGCATGCATGGTTGATGTAGATTTTGTCCAGCAAAGCACCGCACCCACACTACAAAACACTGGGTGTTTCGGCATTGCCACTGCTGCTGCGAGAGAGCTGATGTGACACATTGCGCGCGCTCCACTTGAAGAAAAAATGCCCCGGCACACGAAGATGATCGTTAAAAGCTCACTCGCAACAATCGTCCATTGACTGTAAGGGAGGGGGTTCGTGGTGGACTCCCTTTCCCCCCACCCCCCAGCCTTGCCTTGCAGGCGCTACTGAGCCGCTTCCTGCACGAGTGCGGCCAGAGGGTGCACGATCTGAGGGGGCAGGACCCGTTCCCTCGTCCTCGCGGACTCTCTTTGTTCCCCACATGCTTAGTGGGGTTCTGGTTCCCAACCATCCTGTGGTGTTGGGTCCTCGTTTTGAAGAGACGGCGCCCCGCGTTCCTCACCTCCTCCTCCCCCCCCTCCCTCCTCCCATCATCATCATCATCATCATCATCATCATCATCATCATCATCATCATCATCATCATCATCATCATCATCATCATCATCATCATCATCATCATCATCATCATCATCATCATCATCATCCCCCCACCACCCATTTCGGACACCCCTCACACGCTTCGTGGCCCCATAGGGAGCTCCACCGAAGGCCCCAGTGGCAGGGTTCGCATGCCTCCCCACCACCCATTTCGGCACACCCCTCACACGTTTCGTGGCCCCATAGGGAGCTCCACCGAAGGCCCCAGTGGCTGCGTTCGCATGCCTCCCCACCACCCATTTCGGCACACCCCTCACACGTTTCGTGGCCCCATAGGGAGCTCCACCGAAGGCCCCAGTGGCTGCGTTCGCATGCCTCCCCACCACCCATTTCGGCACACCCCTCACACGTTTCGTGGCCCCATAGGGAGCTCCACCGAAGGCCCCAGTGGCAGGGTTCGCATGCCTCCCCACCACCCATTTCGGCACACCCCTCACACGTTTCGTGGCCCCATAGGGAGCTCCACCGAAGGCCCCAGTGGCAGGTTCGCATGCCTCCCCACCACCCATTTCGGCACACCCCTCACACGCTTCGTGGCCCCATAGGGAGCTCCACCGAAGGGGCCCCATATGTCCACCGAAGGCCCCATGGCAGGGTTCGCATGCCTCCCCACCACCCATTTCGGCACACCCCTCACACGCTTCGTGGCCCCATAGGGAGCTCCACCGAAGGCCCGTGGCAGGGTCGCATGCCTCCCCACCACCCTTTCGGCACACCCCTCACACGCTTCGTGGCCCCATAGGGAGCTCCACCGAAGGCACCCACACGTTCCTCACACGTTACGTGGCCCCATAGGGAGCTCCACCGAAGGCCCCAGTGGCAGGGTCCGCATGCCTCCCCACCACCCATTTCGGCACACCCCTCACACGTTTCGTGGCCCCATAGGGAGCTCCACCGAAGGCCCCAGTGGCAGGGTTCGCATGCCTCCCCACCACCCATTTCGGCACACCCCTCACACGCTTCGTGGCCGCATAGGGAGCTCCACCGAAGGCCCCAGTGGCAGGGTTCGCATGCGCCCCCACACCCATTTCGGCACACCCCTTTCACACGCTTCGTGGCACCATAGGGAGCTCCACCGAAGGCCCCAGTGGTTGCGTTCGCATGCCGCCCCCACACCCATTTCGGCACACCCCTCACACGTTTCGTGGCCCCACAGGGAGCTCCACCGAAGGCCCAAGTGGCTGCGTTCGCATGCCGTCCCCACACCAACTTCGGTGCACCCCTCACACGTTTCGTGGCCCCATAAGGAGCCCCACCGAAGGCCCCAGTGGCAACGTTCGCATGCCGCCCCCACACCCATTTCGGCACACCCCTCAAACGGTTCGTGGCCCCATAGGGAGATCCACCGAATACGGTACTCACACCCGCATCACTCACAACTGCATATGGTTGGGTCCCTCGCCAGGCTAATTTTCATCCCTGCCGCGTCGCACCCGCGTCTCCCGCATTTCCCCTCCCCCCTCCCTTTCTCACACAGCGCAGCACAGCACAGCACATCACGGCACAGCACTGCTCAGCACAGCTCAGCACAGCACGGCTCAGCACAGCACAGCATAGCACAGCTCAGCCCAGCACAGCACAGCGCATAGCAGGCGTGGCATTTTCTCGACACCATAGGGGGTGCGCAGGGGGTGGTCCCTCACCGCTGCCGCTATGCACGACGGTCGTCCAGGGCAT